AGTGAGCATTAATTGGAGAGAGTAGCATCTATTATCCAAAGGACAATCAATTTAGTGGGTGTTAAGATAATAAAGTAGATTTGAATTGCTAACAATGGAGGACAAGTGTGAGAGATGTTTTTTGGAAGTGTATGTTGTCTACATAGATCCGAATCAAGTCCATCGGATCTGGTCCACTACTGTCATATGGAAGTGTATGTTGTCCATGGGATCGCATCTGGTCCATGGGATATATTACATCTAGTCCACGGGACATATTACAGACATCGCATCTGGTCCATAGGATCTAGTCCACGGGATATGGTTTACCGAATCTAGTCCATCAGATCTGGTCCACTAGTGTAATCTGCTATGTTGTCTACATAGATCCTAAATAACAAATTTTGTCCATCAATAAATAGAAAATGGAAAGGACAAACGGTAGAGCTTCCAACAAAAATATAAATTGTCCGTATAGTTTACCTGGGCTGAGGAAGGTTGTCTACTGGACTAACTGATGGACATTTTTGTTCTGTAGATCCGATGTACAACCTGTAAACTGAATGTTAGAGGACAAGTTTAATTGGTGGACAAAAAAGAATTGAGATCTGGTCTACTGAAAATAACTTATCCTTGTGTTGTTTGGAAAAAAAAAATAAATCAATGTTGAATAGAAACGAACAGTCACCTTGGGAGAAAGTGAAGCTTTCTGTCTTTTCATTCAGCAGTATCAAAATAAAAAATGAATTGAGTGAGAAGGGTAGAATCATCTTCTCGTCATGGCTGTGTGGCAGGAGGGAGAATGAATAGGAGAAAATGGCACTCCCCAAAATTTTAGTTACTGTACATGTCATTCTAAACAATTTTCTCTATTCACTATATATAAATGCATTTCTTATTTAATTGTACTCAAACTTAATTAGATATCCAAATTAACTCATCAACCAAGTTTATTAACCCACGCAATGCTTTTTGAAGAGATTAAGTTTTTTTAAATATATGATGGTGTCAATCTCTAATTATATTGAAATATTGGTTCCTCTTTGTGCTTTATAGTCATGTGATCTCCTTACATGTGAATAAACCTCTGTTTCTATTTGTAATTTTGTAATAAAATAGAATGTTTTTAATGATCAAAATTAACAATGATTTTTTATAATTATGGAAATTATTAATTTAGTAAGATTTCAATGTCATACAAAGTTCAAATACTTTTTTTTTTGCTTTTTCTTTGAAAAAAAGACATCCATGTTATATCACACGAAAGATGTGATTAAATTACATTATTTTAAGAGAATTTTTGAGAAATACCACTTTTGGTGTACACTTTTTTTTAAAATACTCATTTTATCTATCCATTTTCAAAAATACCCCTTTTTAAATATAAAAAATTATAAAGTTTTATATAGTTTATATAAGGTACTTCTATATAATAACTACTACCGGGAGATTCGATACAAATATTTTAAAATATTTTAAATAGTTTTAAATCGTTTTTATAAGTTTTATAAGGGTTTTTAAAGGGTTTATACGGTTTTTATAAGGTTTTTATAAGGTTTTTATAATTTATTTTTACGCTGTTTATGAAAGGTATATAAATTTTTATACACATATAAAGGTAATCTGTGTATATATTTATAAGCTTACACACATAATTGAATAAATTTCAATATTTTTAGTGGGTTTTTTTTATAAAGTTTGAAAAGGGGGTATATGAAACGGGGTATTTTTGAAATTCCCCCTTATTTTAAAGAAAATTAATCTTAAAACATTAAACCCAAAACAAAGAAGACGTGATAACCAACTATCTTTGGAGTAATAAAAATTTCGTGCCTGCCATTCCAGGAAACTCCATAGTCTATGTTGCATCTTGTGAAGGGTCATAAAACTCAAAAGGCCTCTTGTTCCTTATCAATGAAGCATGAATTTTATCTTTCAAACTAAGCGAGACATTATCAAATTGAAAAGTTAGGGAAGTAGCCGAGACTGATCTCTCTTCTCACATTTGATATTTTTCCTAATAAAAAGTTTTACACATCAACAAAAATAGTTTGACAATTGATATTTTATTATAAAATAATGATAGTCAATGAAGAATTACTGAAAGACAAACATAAATAGTAAAAGGTTTAATTTTTTAAGTATTTATATATATATATATATATATATATAATATTTATTCATGAAAAATTAGTATTTTTGAGAAATACCCTTTTTGGTGTATCCATTTTCAAAAATACCCCTTTATCTATCCATTTTCAAAAATACCCCTATTTAAATATGAAACATTATAAACTTTCATATGGTTTCCAAGGCACTTCTAGATAATAACTAATACTCGGAGATTCAATCTAAACAATTTATAACGTTTTACATCGTTTTTACAAGATTTACAAGGGTCTTAAAAGGGTTTACAAGAGTTTAAATGGTATTCATAAGGTATTTATACAATATTTATGAAAGATATATAATATTTTATACACATATATATGTAATTTGTGTGTAAGCTTATAAATATACACACACATTACCTTTTTATGTGTATAAGATTTTATATATCTATCATAAACTACGTAAAAATAACTTATAAAAACCTTTTAGAAACCCTTTTAAAACCCTTTTAAAAATCTTGTAAATACAATTTATAAAATATTTGTATCGAAACTCCCAGTAGTATTTATTATATAGAAGCACCTTATAAACCATAGAAAACTTTAAAATTTTTCATGTTTAAACATGAGTATTTTTGAAAATTGATAGATAAAATGTGTATGTTTGAAAACGGGTACCAAAAGGGGTATTTCTCAATAAATCTCAAAATTAAATTTCTAAGTACCAGTCAAAATTTGTGATAAAATTTTTAACATACTATAATGGAAAATGAATATTTACATCTAAATTCTAAACATAAAAAAAAAATCGAATATAATTTATTTTGAGAGTATTTCTGAGACTTTGTAATTAAAAATTAAGCTACTCCTAATGACTAAAATATGAAAATAAAAATATAGCATAAAGTAATGGATCTTTAGACTGGTTTCTAGAGCACCAATATCGATCGTAAAAATGTAAAAACAAATCTGAGAATGGCTGGAAACTCAGGGTTTAGAATAAGTGTAATTTATAGGGAAGTGTGCCGGTTCGACTCAGGGTTTAGAATAAGTATCTACAACTAGTTTTATGTAATAAGACCACCTCCAACGGGAATTTCAGATAAAGCTTACTTCAATAGAAAAAAGCTCTCGCTTCCTCTCTTCCCCCAACAGTAAAATCCTAGCCTCCGTTTCAGATATGTGACTGGGAAGTCACTCTGGTGGTCGGTGCTTCTCGTCGACGCCGTGAGTGGCTTCCCCTTTTGTCTGTTTTCTAGTTTGTTAGTTATGTTCTTTGTCTAATTTATGGCTCTTGGTGGAGGAAGCTTGAACGGGCCGAAATAGTAGATCTTCACAGCGAAATTGGTTGTTCTTGTCGGTAGTCAGCTTCTCCTGAGTGAGTTGTTGTTTGTGTCCGAGATCTATTGATCTAGCGGGTGCTCTGTTCTAAAAAGAGATGGTGATGAAACGCAAATCTTGTGGGTATCAAGGTTCGGTTGTTCGTGAATCCACGGCCAACACGGAAATTTAAAAATTTCGCGCGCACTTGAGAAAAATATGGAAATAAAATAAATATCAAATATGATCATTTATTTGATTCAAAGATACATACTAAATGAATAAATATCTCATACTTTCAATTTAAAATGTTGCAGTTTCATAATGTAAATGAGACATTAATAACTAGTCTTGAAAAATGCAAAATACAATAAATATATAAAAATCAGTTAAAATGATATCATTGTTATGTAACATGTTTTAAACATGTGATTAATGCTTTACTTAATCACTAAGGAAACATCTCCCTTAGACATACATCCCCTTGATCATACATCCCCCTTAGACAATCTTGTAGCACTATAAATAGATGAACTTAGCTACTTTTTGTGTAAGTTTATGTAAAAGATAATAAGATGAGATCTTTTCAATTCTCTCTAGTTCTAATTTTCTCTTTGTTTATTATCTTGTTTGATCTTCATCACCTATATAAAGATAAAGTTTACAACACGTTATCAGCACGATGTCTTTACCGCCAGAGGTTTTACGAGGTAAGTAAAATTTATATTATTTTATTTTATGTTTATAGAACATAAATATTATAGACATCATAAGAGTATGCATTTTTCCGGATTGATTGTAACAAGTGGTAGGCTTTGCCTCCTTTACGATCAAATATATAACTACCTTATTTCCGGATTGGTCGTTAGATATATGCCAGGCTCTGCCTCCTTCACGATCAAATAAAAGTTATATCATTTTCCGGAAAGATCGTTATACATGGTAGGTTCTGCTTCCTATACGATAAAAAAGGCTTCGGTTTCTAGAATAATTTTATGTATTTATATGTTTGTTTATTAGTAAAGTTAATGCATATATGTGTTAAATGAGATTTAAAGAAAATGAAATACGTCTTTAAAACTTAAAATATAATTTCTGCTATGAGAATATATGAAGCATGTAGAGATATTGTTAGACAATGCTAAACTAATTGGAAGATTTAGATGAGCTAGTCTCTCAACTTCCAAAAGCATCCAATTCATAATTTTCGATGCCTAGGGTTCTCCAAAGTCTCAAATAAATTTATGGAGTTGGAAAGATATTTTGTCTTAATAGTTTTTTATATTGAGACTTTAAAATATTTGTCGTATCAGATATTCAACAACAATTGGATACATGCATATATATGCTTTTATCATGCAAAATAAAGATGGTAAGATAACAGTAAACATGAAATGCATTAAGCATAGCATAACCGGTCAAACCATCCCGATCTAAAAATGATATTAAATATCATTGAAATTTATAAAAAGGATAAAGAAAAATATTCAAGCATTCCAAGCCTGCGGTCATATTTTCGAGGTAACATTTAAATTATGTTTATTAAAACGACGAATCAAGTGCAATGTATTTTGTCATTATTATGGAAAAAATTACTATCTATCACCATTAATTATTGTACCACATTAATTGATACATTTAGCTCTTACTTTTCCATCAATTTCTAACCCTACTAAAACAAAACCATCCCAAACATTTGATTTTTTGCGTCTCTTACGTGTAGCTTGAGTTTTAGCTGGTTGGATTTGTGTTTGACTTAGCTTTGCTGTAGTGATTGCACTTATGCATCTTCTTCATTCATATGTATTAAGGGCGTTGAGATGCCACAGTTTTAGAATTAAAAATATGATGATCACTATGATAGATAGGTGGTCGTTTTGGTCGACCCGCGACTGCATTTTCTCCCATATGAGCATTTCGGCCCCCAACTGGCTTCTCCTAACGGAGAGTATCTTCCCGATAGTGCCATAATCATACTTTGTCTTTTGGTCGACAAACAAAATATATAGGTGGTCGTTTTGATCAACTAGTTGCTCGACCATCTCCACCATCGCCATGATATAACTGTTAGTCGGAGAGGGAATAAACATCAACTCAATTTTCATCTTTTTATCCTCTCTATATGTTAATTTTCCCTATGTTTTGAGAAAGATAACTTTAGAAGTTGCTAAGACAATAACATTAAGTAATGTTTTGACTTGTTCACTTGTACATACACATTTTTCAAATGTGACACTCATAGTCTCATTGTCCGTAGCTATATGTTCCAACAACCTTAGTTTCAATCTTTCCGTTCTTTTATGTTTTACATGCATTCTAACTTTATAATTAATATATGATTAATTTTTTCATACAACTACAATTTTATTTTTCTTCTCTTAAAATTTGTTACCTCAAAGTACCTAGTACATGATAAACGAGTTCTTATTTAGAAGATGACATTGACTAATATGATATTTTAAAACTTAATTATTACCTTATTTGGATACCCAACTCATATTCTTCATTCCTTGAAACGATAACTCTTCGTAACGTCTTCAATAAACTTTCCCATCGCAATCCAAGACGACCCACCTTCCATTAGGGCTAAGTGACATTTCTTGCTCATCTCCTTCACTTTCTTCCTCACGTCACCATCCTTGTCCATCAGACGCTTGATTGATGTCTCTATCTCCTCTGCTGTCACCGTGACCTTCGACGTTCCCATTAAATGATTCTCTCGCCAATACTTCTTTATCTCCACGGCCAATCCAATCTCCTCCACCATCATAAACGTGTTAAACTTCTGCTCGGCGTATAACGGCCATACAGCCGTGGGGATACCGAACCAAAGGCTCTCTAGAAATGAGTACCACCCGGACTGATTGATGAATCCTCCAATAGCTGGCTTCGCAAGCACGGCCACTTGCGGAGCCCATCCGATAACTCTTCCTATATCTTTCGTCCGTTCGAAGAATCCTTCCGGAAGAACTTCTTCTAGGTTGGTGAAATCACTAGGATGTTCCCTAAATATATTCGGAGATGCACGACGAAGAGACCAGAGAAACCGGCAGCCGCTTCGTTCCAGCGCTACAGCGATTTCTCTTGCTTGTTCCTCACTGAACCCTCCCTTGCTCCCGAAGCAAAGGAACAAAACCGAACTAGGTGGTTGATCGTCTAACCACCGTAAAATATCAGATTGCTTCTCGTCCTTGGAATCACCAACTTGGTTGAGATGAGACAATGGTCCAATAGGATAAACAGGAGTGTCACCACTAGAAAGATACTTCAACACATAAGGTTCAAGCTCAGCAACAGTATTTATCAAAATACCCTTCATTTCTTTTACTTTCCTCGGTAGATTTACAACCATAGGGAGCGTCGCTTTAGATGCAAAAAAGTCAGGAATACATTTCACTGGATACGGACGACTCAAACTTGGAACGTTCAACACAGCGTCCGAGTTTTCATAATCACTTTCACAAACATCGTACTTGTTCTCATCGTACAACATCTGGATATGACTTACAACTCCGAGTATTCCTGCACATGGCGTACAATAAATATAAGGCGGAAGACCAAACTGTTTCGCCACATCTAACATCGAGGTTGAGAATATGTCTAGGACAAGCCCAACAACCCTCGGCGAGTCCGGTAATGTGGAGTAGGCTTCGACGAGTTTCCCAACCGCGTCTTTAACCTTTGGCACTTGGTTCTCGACATGGGTTTCAAAACTCGTCAGCTCGGAGATTGGTTCATCTTCGTCGGAGATAACAATGTAGCGTAGCCGGCTGTTGGATGCAGAGGAGAGCCCTGCAATGTAGTCTCTTCCGGCAATGAAAGGAATGATGATGATGGTGATAGAAAGGTTGGTGTCACGGCTCACTAGTAGCTCTGCCATCTCTACCATTGATTTGAGATGAGTGAATGAGTGAGAAGGGGTGAGGATAAGCTCAAACTTCATGTTTTGTTCTTCTTCTTTCTCTCTTTTTCTTTGTCGGTGCTTTTTGGTCTCTACAATGAATCCTACTTTATAATGCTATATATTTTTTTTTTTGGTTTTTGTCATTTTTACATCTGTATTTAGGTAAAAATAATTCAACCAAGAAGAGGAAATATACACTACTATAGAATATTAAAAAATCAAATTAAATAAAGAATAGAAACTTGAAAATATCTAGTAAAATGAAAAAAAAAAAAAAAACTTCATAAACATCTTACATTATAGAACAAATAGAACTGAGTACTATTAGACCATCCTCGTTCATAAACCCTTCATGTGTGTTTTACAGATTTATAATTAAACTAGATTTTAACCTGCAATACATCGCGAAACAAATTTTATTTTTTTTAAAGAAATTCAAATTTCTATTATACTGGAATTTTTAAAAAAATTATTAAGATTGGATATCAAATTTAGCTAAATAAGTTTGATTTAATATGTCTTATATTGGTGTTCTTAAAAAATTGTATAATGAAATTTTGACCCATTTTGAAGGATAAGATTAATGCTATTTAAAATTTTAATTATATCCAAACTCGCAGTGTCATACAATCCGTATATAAATGTTATTTTAAAAACAAACAAAATTTATAATAATTGTTTTCATATATATTTCGCATAACAATATTAACCCGTTTTCAAATATATGATATGTTTTACATGATAATACTAATATATTAATGTGGCTTAATGGTTAAAGAGTTGCTTTTATTCAACATAATCCGGGTTCAATGCATTCCTCCATCATAGTGTTTTTTAGTAAAATAATTAAATGTTTTTGCAATAAATGCGACCACTAAATGTTGCAAAAAAAAAACTTGTAAAAATACTAATATAGATTTAGGCACTCTCATTTTCAGGACTAAAGTGTCTCCATAGCTCTGTTTATCGGGAAATTTGAAAATATAATCTTCATTCTATAGCTTTGATGGTATATTTTATTTTTGATGTTTTTTTCTTTTTTCTTTTTGTTAGTAACAAACTTTATGAAAAGAAGCTAGAACAAGTTTGTTTTCTCCAAAAAAAAATAATATCAAGTACATTAATTTAAAAATTAAACTGTATTTATCTGAGTAACTATTTTTGAAAATACTAGGTTTGGTATTTTATAAAAAGAAAAAGTGAGAAAATAGATATTTGAACAAATTTCTCACTCTATAACTTACAAAAAGTAAAATATCTTTCATCTAAATACAATAAATTAAAGAATTATGAAAATATCAGTTTTTTTTTGGTAAGAGACCGGGAGAAAACTCTCCCAGTTATTATTATTAATTAAAAAAATTACAAGCAAATTCCTTAAATATTAACAATCATATATCTAGTTAAATTAAAATTAAAAAGAATAAAAAAACACATACAGTGTTTAGTAGTTGAGAAATATTTATTGTTAATAAATAAATAAAAAAAATTATGGTTGATCAAACTACCACATATAAATGTTGCCTCACGCAGAACCACATGTGTTTGGTCCATGTAATATAAATGTTCATGGTGTAAAAATAAGTACACATGTTTTATTCATGTTTCCGAATTGTTTGGTGTAGGAATTATAACCACATATCAATCAAAACCTACTGTAGTTTAATTTTAGGCAAATGAGGTAAAGATCGAGTACAGTACATTGTTAGTAGAGATATGAGACAATTTACAACTTTTTGACATACTATAAAAAAATTAATCGGGGTAACTGTTAAAACCATGTTTGGATAATTTTGTCAATACTAAAATAAATATGAGATGATTTCAAGACTAGCAAAAAAAAAAAAATTGTTTTCATTATCATACTCTTGAAAATAAATAATACATCAAAGAGTCAATTATTTACCAATCAATTGTATACAAATTATACGTTTTTTTTTTTTGCAGTTATGTTCATTTGTAGTACCCAACTACCCATTGCTTATTTCATTGTTTACCTTCTTTATCTTATACTAGAAGTTGACCCGCGCTCCGCGCGAGAAGTTTATAATTTTTTTTTTGTTGATTTTTTATTCATATTGTGATATTTTATTATTTTTAATTGATTTTCAAAAAATATTACAATTATTTTCCCTTTAGTTATTATCTTTCAATACTCAAATTTGGATTAAAAGCATTTGATTCAATTTATGAAATATCATTTTTTTCTTTTTGATCATGTTATAAACTAATATTTCACTTTCATTTTATTTTTCCTCTTTATAATTTTATATATAAAATTACATAAATGTTGTTTTAGTCTACCATAAATTTAAATTTTACTTCCATTCTAAAACTCAGTAACATATTTAAAATATTAAATTATGATCAATTTAAAATGAAAGTTGAATTATATTATTACCACTAATAAAAAATTAAAGTATTGTTTTTCTTATTTTAACATTTCATTTTTGTACATAATTTATTTTTATTTATATAAACTTTCTGTTAATTAAATAAGTAACATAAATATGCACTAAATGATTATTTTAAATTTATTTTAATGTTTAAATAAAAGTGTGGCTTAGGTGGATGCTTAAGTGGCATCATGAGAAGAGAGAAAAAGCTAACTTTATATATATAGATATGATATTTTCTTAAAGAAATTTAAGGCTGAGATCTTGTCATTAATGATGGTCTATTATTAGGTTTTTCGTTTCATCTCCATCATTTATACAGAACTACAAAACCCAAATAACGCATTGTCGTCCAAAGACAAGTATACATAATCACTTATGTCCTAATATTGTATTTTATGTGTTGCCTTCTTAGTATTCTGTAGAAATATTGACATTATTCTTAGGTGTTGATTGGTTCTCTCGCTCTTACCCGCCTAGCGGTTGCTAGCGAACGATTGCGGTTGCTAGCGTTTAGTACAATCATACAAAACGCTTCACACCGCTTGGGATCGCTCGAAATCGTTGGATTTCAAAAGTTCATTCCCGCAAGCGTTTGTCGTTGCGGGCAATTGCGATTGATTTAAAAAAAGGAAAGAAACTGAAAAAGGAAAATCTGTAAAATAAAAAAATTATATTAACATTAATTTTTCAAATAATAATTATTCTCTAAATTTAACTTTCCAATAGTATTAATTATTCGTGTTTCACTATAAATTTTATTTATTTAACATTTGAATAATTATTTACGGGATGTAATTTTTAATCATATTTAAAATGTTTATATTTTTAAATAAATATATTTTACTAAAAAATATTTGTTTTTAAATAATTATTTAATAATTAATTTATGGTTTAATCACCTATATATATTAAGTTGAAATATAAGAAAACATTTTATTAGTATTTAGCTTCGATTTGATTAGATACATAAACTCGTTTTTCTTATAAAAATTTCAGTCGTACTTGCAAGCACATTTACCTTAGAGATCATTAGAGAAATCCAACTTCTTTTCCGAGTTCCGACTGTCCTCAAACCTTAACAATGAGACATCTCCAAAGCTTCTGCACCATTTGGTTTAATTAGTGACTTTCTCAGATTTGTGTCCCATAGATTTATAACCTTTTATTCACATCTCATACATATAAGATGTACAATACTCCTTTGAAAGATTTGTGTCGCATAGTAAAAGATCTGTGTCACATCTCAAAATTTCAATATTTTCCTTGGTTTTATGTTTTTTTGTTGTTGTTGTTGTTATTGTATGGGTTAAAAATGAAGTTAAATATCGCTGTAACTTCTTAACTCTAGATTTTACTTTTGGTATATGACATATATCTTATGTTTTTAATATTTTTCTATTTTTATGTGGTTATATGAGTTTAAAATCAATTAAAACATTATTAACAATTACATTACTTTTTTTTTTTGTCAACAGCTTATATTAAAAAACTCAGATGAGCCAAAAATCGGGAACATTGTTTACATATATATAAAGTAGCGTTTCAACGCACTTTGCGTTTTTGCGTGCCAATGTATCCGCTGGATAATAGAACATCGAAAGACTTTTACTAAGGAAAAGAAGAAAACTCCTCCTTATACTTATGTATTCGACTTTTACTAAGGAAAAAGAAGAAAACTCCTCCTTATACTTATGTATTCATATTTTATGAAACTCATTACATAAGAAGCTCTTTAGATTCTGTTATTAGAGTTGAAAACATTGACAATGAGGTGAGACTCATTGTACTAAATTATACATATTTCTTCTTTCTTTTCTTATTTTTAATTTAGAATCACATATGTAAAATAAAAGAATGATTTTATGGAATTCAAAACTGGGCTCCTACCGGTTCACCAATGAACCAGGCACTACATTAAACCGGTCAACACCAAACCGTGTTCGCCGACGAGGTTGTCGTATTCATCGTTTTTGTCACGTTCCGGTTTACTTTGTGGCTGACGATAAACAGAGAGAGCTCAAAAGAGGAATTAGGGTTTGATTGATATGCTCAGAGGAAGAGAAAGAGGAAGAAGAATCGTACAATTCCGCCATTAAAGCTTCCACCTTTAATGGCGACAACGACTATTTCTTCCTTCTCTCTTTCTCTTCCTCAACTTCTGCGTAAACCCACAAAGCCTCTTCCTTTCATCTTCCTTCTCCCTCGATTCAATCGGAGATTTCGAGCTCTCACTATCACTGCTTCTTCTTCGAGCAGTTTCAGTAGTAATCATGGCGGCGATGATGGCTTCTCTCTCGACGATTTCACTCTTCGTTCTGATTCTCGATCACCTAATCCTTCGAAAAAATGTGTCCTTTCTGATCTTATACAAGAGATTGAGCCATTAGATGTGAGTTTGATTCAGAAGGATGTTCCAGTGACTACTTTGGATGCAATGAAAAGAACAATCTCGGGGATGTTGGGTCTTCTTCCTTCTGATAGGTTTCAGGTTCATATTGAATCGCTTTGGGAACCTTTGTCTAAGCTTTTGGTTTCATCAATGATGACTGGGTATGTTCATATGTAATTGAAAGTTTTAGCTCTGTTCTGTTTAGTTGTCTATTAGTTGTGGACTAGAATGGTTAAAGAGCTAGGACTAGAGGATATGTTCTCTTTGAACATTAGTTTACGGTTTGGTGGAAGCTGTATTTATATAGAATTGGTTGAATTTTATAGTCGAGAGTTATGATCATGGAAAGACCGATACTGATTCATCATTATCATGAAAGGCGATTCGTTTTGTGGCGCTGAATCGACTTAGCTTGTTTTGAGTTGAGTTACTTTGTGTATCTGCTTTTATGATTGTCACATAGGCAGCCTGTTTGCTTAGTCGTCTTCTCTAATTGCTTCCTTCTCCCTTGGTGTGGATAACTTCTTTATAAGTATGTAGTAGTGGTATCTTGTATCTTGTGTGGATTCTCTCTTCAAATGAGAGAGTACGAGTACAACTTCTGATGTTTTGCTATACTGTAGGTATACGTTGCGGAATGCTGAATATAGGCTTTTTCTTGAAAAAAATCTTGATATGCATGGAGAAGACTTGGAAAGCCATACGCCGGAACATACTGAATATGATTTGAAAGGGACTGGTGAGAGTGATGGTCCATCCACAAGGAATAGCTTAACTCAGAGCCTTGCTGAAATGATTGATGAAGAAGGTTTGGGCAAAGTATCCTTTGAAGCTCAAGAATATATCTTCCGTTTACAGTCGCAATTGTCTTCTGTGAAAAAGGTTCAGTTTCTGATGTAGTCATCTATTTCTTTTCAACATAATGGTGAATAAGTTCGTTGCATAGATGTCACATTCCTCACTAGAACTTTTCTTGTTTGATTTTGTGATTATATTTCTGTGACATGTTTTGATCTCGCTGCATTATAGGAATTACAAGAAGTGAGGCGAAAAAACGCTGCCCTTCAAATGCAACAATTTGTTGGGGAAGAGAAGAATGATTTACTGGACTACTTAAGATCTTTGCAACCTGAAAAGGTTTGTGTAAAAATCTCTGAATCCATGTTTGAGCTTGTGAGGTAGATTTTTCTTCTCTTTCCGCTTCTCTCTGACCATCTAACCTTTATGTCTAACAGGTAGCTGAGTTATCAGAACCCGCGGCTCCAGAGGTGAAAGAGACAATTCATTCTGTTGTTCATGGTCTTTTGGCAACCCTGTCACCGAAGATGCACTCCAAGTTTCCAGCATCAGAAGTTCCACCTACTGAAACGGTAAAAGCAAATAGTGATGAAGATTGTGCTGAACTTGTAGAGAACACATCGTTGCAGTTTCAGCCTATTATCTCACTGACTCGAGACTACCTTGCTCGTCTCCTCTTCTGGTAAGAACTACCTTACTCGCTCTCTCAGTCCCTTGCTACGCTTTACATTGATTTCATACATTTAACTACATGCAGTGATGCACTAATAAATCCTCTCAAACGATACTTTATAGTGTCTTTTTTTTCGTATCAAAGACATCTTATACCGTGGTGTTTGCTTTCTGTTAAAAGGTCCATGCTGTTGGGACATTATCTAAGAGGTTTGGAATATCGAATGGAACTGATGGAAGTTCTTTCTTTGACGTGCGATGCAAATGGATCTGAGAACGGTGCTTGAAGCTATCTTCATATATCCCGACATTGTCCCACATCCGTATCATCGGCCTAGACATTCGTAAACCAGCAAAGTGGGCAAGTGACTTGGAGACAGGCCAGCGTTCGAGTTTAGCTCTTACATACAACATGGAGTTGACCTGAAAATCATGTGCAAGGTGAAGTGTAACATAAGAAATTACTTCTGCTAAAAATTTTTTTTTCTTATTGCAGTATGTGTGATTGGACCTGCAAATCAATAAAGCTAAGTGTAACTGTAATTGGGAATATACTCTTTTGGTCATTAAGTATAGTTTGTCCTGCAATTGCTGGCTCAGAATGAGAATACGAGTGTCAAGTGGGTTCATTTGGTTTGCCCCTTCTGCACTTGGCACAACAGCTTACCTTAGTCAAGCCTTAGTTATATTTTTCGCCGGTTTCCGAATGCGGTATCCTTTAAACAAGCTATTCTAAATTAGAACCAAGAGTATCCAATTTCTAGCAAGCTTACAACTATGTGTGTGTTTTGAATTAACCATTGGAAGAAAACAGTGATCTGATTCCCATGGATGTGAGCATTACTTGTCACCAGTTTCATATAATTTTCACCTTCATCTTATTGTTTGATGAATGTAAGATAAGTGTATACTCTGCTGCACTGAGTTATCCACACTCATATCATCACATCGCAACTAGGATATATCAAACTTCCTTGTAAACATTTATAGAGCTAAGTGATCAAAGTGTGTAACATGAATTCATTCTGGTAAAGTGTTACCTAACCTAAGTTATTGTTATATAAATAGATTGGTTTCTTTGGTATGCCTAAAATAATTATAAAAAGAAAACACAGACAAGGTAGTAGTTGAAGCACGTGATGAACCTAACACTTTAGTCAGTCTTTTTAAAAAACCTCGTAAAAGTTATCTCAAGTCTCATCCCCATTATTTATTTACCACACAAGTTCTTCTCTTCTCTATCTCCATCTCCATCTCCATCTCCTAGTCCTCATAGAACCATCTCATTCATTGGTAATACAAATTTGGATAGAAAAACATCTAGCAATAAAGACTCCACGATTCATTTTCTTTTTCGAATCCAAACCCGATTTGAATCCGAGCCCATGAATCCGAACCCGAACTAATACCCAAAGGAATACTCGTATGCACCCACAAAATAAGTATACACTAGGTTTGGATCCGCACGGAGGAATTTTTTCGGCTTTATTTTATTTTAAACGTGTTTTATTATTTTGTTTATTTTAGACATCAATAATATTATTTCGAGCCTTACACTGTTCTGATAAATTTTAAAAATAATACTTCTTTAATAACCATATAACTATCATGACTTTATAAATCACTATAACTTATTGTGATAACTTTATAACTCCACATTATAATCACTAAACCCACATTAAAAGTAAACCCAAGAAAAGAAAAAAAGACTCATATGCAAAAGATCCATTCATCATGTTCACTAGATCTCTCTCATTTTATTTATTCAAAAAAAAAAAATTGGTTGGAAAGAAGTAGTAGAATCAGTTAAGGACATTTTGGAGTGCCTTTGTTAGTGAGCTTGTCACGATAGCAAGCACACTCATGTTTGTTCCCATAAGTCCCTGAAGGAACACATTGACAATCTTTACAACATATCCCACAATACTTCAAACATCGATCTTTCATCCCTGCTGCTTTGCATCTCCCTTCACACTTCTGTCCACACCATTTCTCTAACACCGGTCCATCTTTCATCTGCGGCGCTGGAGCTACCGCGCCGCTACCAAAAGCATCTAGAAGATCCACAAGATCATTGTCAAAATTATAGTACACACACACACTCACACACACACATATATATATATAAGAACTAGATTTGTATCTATCATAGTCTTGAAAACGAGTTCACTCTACCAAATATGTCTTAAATGTTATGATTAGGATGATGAATATAACTCTTTCTAGTATAACAAACATCAAGAGCAAACATGATCATCACTTGTCAATGTAAAAAGATCTAAAAGATCCACATCTACTAATGATCTTTTGGATCTTCTAGATCCTTCAAACCACCACAGCAAGAAGATGAAGTTCACTTTATTTTTACTGAGGTTTTCTGTACCTAAAATAGTAAGTACATCTAAGTCATGAATGTTTTGGATCATGATAATGAACTTTTGTATTTTCGTTTGCATGTAGTTTTTAATTAGAGGATTTGTATATCTTTTCTAATGGAAACGAAAACATAAAGAAACATTATGATCACCTAAACCAATTACACCAAATATATTATAATTAATTTTAGGAAGAAAACAAAAACATTGAGAGAAGAGTATTGAATAGATATATAACAAACCTGAGAAAGTAGCTGAAGCAAGAGATGAAGTGACTAGAAGAAGTGAGGCTAGGACTAAGATGGAGACAATTATCTTCATGTTTAGTTTCGATCAAAGTATCAAGTTTCTATTGTTCTTCTCTTCTTGTGGTCTCTTTATTGCTCTTTTATAGGCCAAGCTACCGACTTACAATATTTTATTTTTATAAAAGAACTATATTATTCCAATTTTATTAAATAAAAGCAACTTTTCAGTTTGTTGTTATTTTGTTTTTGTCTTAGAATTCCATACAAAAATTCAGACTAATCCTTAAAATTTGTAAGAACATAAGATTCTTTTTTTATTTTAATTTTCAATGTATTTGGTATTCACAGCCAATAATAATGACAATCAAACATATTTTTAATTAGCCACAACCAACGCTAAACAGAAATGAAATGTTTTTTATTTGTTATAAATCAATATACTAACATCCATATAAACCTAAATACCGATGAAAACAATACATTCTAGAGATAGCTTTTTTTAATATATATCAACCACATGTTAGTTAAACTGATTACTCAATAATTGGTAGCCGAATTTACAAGGAAATAGTTACAAATGAAATTTCAAAATAATGATAATAATCTAGATTATTGAGTTATAAAAAGAGAATTATTTTTAAATACCATGAAAATAGATATTTTTCCAAAAATACCATTATAATTTTTATTTTCCAAAAATACCTCTAAAATACATTTTTTCCAAAATACCACAAAACTAAAACTAATTTTTTAACATTCAAAGCTAATTTCTAAATCCTAAACACTAAACTCTTCCCCTAAAAACTGTACCCTAAATATAAATAGTCAACCCAAACATTAAAAAAAAAATTACACCTTCAAAAATCAACTTTTAATGTTTATGTGTCTTTCTGGAAAAATAAAACTTTTATGGTATTTTTGGAAGAAAAACTAAATTGATGGTATCTAAGGGAATTTATCTATAAATTTTACTCTTAAATTACAATGAACAAAACCTCATATGTATTTTTATTGAAACAAAGTAGATACATATTCTTTTATTAATTACATAGATTAGTTTAAGTTTTGAGCCACCATTGGATCATTGAATTTGTTGTTACATTTTCAAGAATATACATACATGTAAAGTTGTAAAAGGAAACAAAAGAGAAAGAGGGAAACAGGCTGGTGACAGATATGTATTATGGAGAAAGAAACATTTGGGGAATGAGATTGTCTCCTGAAGACCTCATTCCACGCGGTATCTCGCACATGGGACATGGACATGACTCTTTTGTTCTCTTACTTATTTGTTTGTTTGTTTTTAATCTCCAAATGGCACATTGTTTCAACAACTCTGCAGGTTAGATCAGATGCAATAATATGATTTTGTTGAAAGAGTATTTTCGAGTACTAAAGAAGTTGGTCGGATGCAATTTGGGAAAACCATTGAAAAATGTATAAAGTATATAGTAATATTTACATAGCCGGCCATAAATTTGGAACTAGTTATGGGCTTTGTAATAACTCATTTTGGTCACTTTCTTATATTAAAACAAATGTGGAAATATAACTCCAAGTTTTCTCTGGAGTTGATCTTTAGCTTGTTTGGCTGAGATTGAAGCTTGTATCTATTCACCTCACATCTTCAAATATGGTATCAGAGTAAGAGTGTTGAGCACACACTCAACCGACTCTTGACATAATCTCTTTTGACTTTTTCTCTGTTTGAATTTGTAGATCTTCTAATATGGTATCAGAACAAGGTTGTTCGGCCGGATTTGATTTCAATTTTGTCAAGATTTGAGTTCCATTATGTGATTTTAGCTTGTTATAGTCAACCTTTTAATTGATCATATGTTTGCTCTGATGACAAAGAAACTATCCAAACTTAGAAATCGCAACTCATCTTTTGATCCAGACCATGTTTCACTCTGCGGTAGTTAATCTAACCAAGATAAAACGGAACTATATTCTCAATAAAATTTGCTTTCGCGATTGCAATTTTTGAAATCTCTATGATGATTTTGATGAATTTTAGCGTAATTTGTTTTAGATTTTCAGCAACTTCATAAAAACCATGAGATTCAGATTTTGATAGTCTTAACTATGAAATCTACTACCACCTTAAAAAACACTTAAAGTCACAACTAAAAATATTCCAATAATTGTGGATTGATTGCATTTTTTTAAAAACAGTACTCTTAGTTCATCTTTAAGGGGATAAGTGGGAGGATGTAGCTTAGGTGTTAAAAATAAATATAAGAATGTAAGAGGTTAAGTTAAGAACCAAAATTATAGAATTGATTATTGGTTGAACCTCTAGATTCTTAAAAATTAAATAATAAAATAATAAATAATATAAAACATATTAAAAATTTTAAACTCTTAAAAAATTACTTTTAAATTGAAAAACAAAATTAATAGTAAAATTTATTTTAAATTAAAATGAAACAGAAAATACAATTATTAATTATTAATAACAAAAAAAACAATAAAGATAAAAATTAAAACATAAAAAACGTATTAATTAAAGCACACAAACATTTTATTAAATTAATACAAAGTTTAAAAACCTTATTAATCATTTAAAAGATGTCCAACAAAAGAATAACAAAAGAATAATGTATTCTTTTACAAAAAATCCTACCCACTCACCACTTCACACGTGGCTTAAGCACCTTTTCTTAAAAAAAATCTTAACCAAAACTCGATTACTCCTTCTCTTTACAGTGTTATATTATTTCATCCTTTGTTTAATGTTCTAACATCTTTCAGATTACACCGATAAAGATGCCTTATAATAATGGATCTTAGAATATACTTTTTTAAATACTGAATACATCACCTTAGTTTATAAGGATAATTTTAGTTTGATTTTACATTTTCCTTTTCACTAATATGTGAATGTCTTTATATAAAATAAAAAATAAATGCAACCTTTTACACCCTTCTATAACTTCTCTGGACTACATATTTTTCAAGTTGAAGTCACGGTGTCTAATAGCTTATAACTTCTCTGGACTACATATTTTTCAAGATACAGATGAATAGCTAAAACATTTTGAAGGCATGTCGGACGTGTAATTAAGAACGAATGTATTTTGTAATTAATGAAGCCGCAATAATCACAATCCCTAACTAGAATGTTTTGGACGATTACTCACGTTTTGTTTTATCTATATATCACATTGGTTTTTCGTTAGAGATGTTTTAAGTAAACTAACATAATTTGATTAGTGTATTTATTTAACTTATAACACCATTAGCAAAAAAACTAGTTGATATAATGTACTAAAAGTATTTTTTTTTTTTTTCTAGTTCCGATTTTAAGTCTAATAAAGTTTTGATCTAATTAGAAAGTTTCATTGTTAGGTGATTAAAATGATCATAGCTTCATGTATAAGTTAATATGGTTATTGCTGTCGACACTTCAACTAAAGTATATAACAAATCATTCTTGTTAACTTCTCAAATTGCTACAGTTGTGTCAACCTTTAAAACATACTAACGGTGCGTCAGAGTCTTCCCGGAATGTTCTTCAAAATTCGATTTGTAATGAATTGTTGAAAGTGTGAATTGTTGAAAGTGAATCTGACCAAAACTAAGGAGTTCCATATCAAGAATCCTTAAACTCATACATCGTAGTGCAACTCATGCTTACAAATTCGTTCTTGCATTCTCTGTTTCACATTGTCGCAACCACGAAACTTTGGTGTCAATCGCGAGATTTTAACAGTTTCATCTTACTTCTAGATTTTAGTTATGTGATTGCTATAAGAACTCACAAGTTTTAGTGTTTTAGAGTGTGTCAACTAGAAAGAAGACAAGGCAAAAGAAGAAGGAATAAAGTACAACTAATAATAATCAAATAGAATGAGAAAGGAAGCCACAAAAGTATCTGCAAACAAAATAAAAATCCTGCTGCTATCTCTCCATCTCAAAAGCTCTCTCAGTAGTATCCTCTCCAAAAGATCATAAATCCCAAAAGAATTCAGTCCCAAGCAATACAATGGAACAAAACAAAAGAACGACATAATAATAAATGCATTGGAGGAACATTGTTGTTGGTGACAAAAGACTCCAACTTAGATCATAAACCAAACGAGAACTGATCCAAATACTAAGCTTGATACCATCTTGCTAGCTCCATTCTGCAAATCATAAGGTTTCATATCAGCATTTCTATTTTAATTTAATAACAAAGCATCACCTGAATTCAAAATTGGACTTTTCAGTTATATTAACTAATCCAGGGATAGATTTGGAAAGATCCTAAAATCTAGGGGGTGAAACTTAAAAATAATATTTGGGACGGCAGATTTTAAGACAAATCCGTCTATCACGCTTATGCTTTATTTTATTACTAAACTCTAAAGTTAACTTCTATGTTAGATCTACTTTGGTCCTAAAGCATAATGCCACGTGGAATTAATTAATTATTCACGTGCAGACTGATAAAGTCACGTGACTATTTACACCCACGCGCCGCGGCTCGGATCCGAAGATCTCGAGGCAGACAGACCAAAATCACCAAACCCGATACTGGCGCACGTTAGTGTAAACTAGCATCCTATTGCTAAATTGCGCTAATCATGTTTTTCACACTGGTTTAGATCTAATAAGATTCAGACAAAACAACTAAGTTTCAAAGTCAAAACATCTCAGATCTGAAACACATTGTACAAGATCTAGAAGAAAGAAGAGTGTACGAACCTGGTCGTTTACATCTGTGGAAGGACTAGGACCAGGAGTGAGTGACTCAGTGCTAGGTCCAGGAGCGTCGCTAGATGGAAGAGGTGGGCTAGAAGACGGCGAAGGAGATGGAGAATCTGGCTTCGTGACCGGTGCAACAGCTGGAACTGAAGCAGGAGGTGAAGCTAGAGGAGCTGGAGGAGGAGTAGCGACGGGAGGAGGAGTTGCTGGTGGAGGAGAAGCAACGGGAGGAGGAGGAGAAGAGACTGGAGGAGGAGTAGCGACGGGAGGAGGAGTAGCTGGAGGAGGAGATGAGACTGGTGGTGGTGGGTTAGCTGGAGGAGGAGCAGTGGTGACTGGAGGAGGAGAAGTTGTGACTGGTGGTGGTGCTGAGACAGGAGGAGGAGTAGAAGTTGGTGGAGGAGTTGTTGTAGTTGGTGGTGCTGGTGTGGCGGTTGGTGGTGAAGTCGGAGCTTGACCAGTGACGCCGGCGACGAGGACGATACAGATCACAGCGATAGCGAAAGATCGAGCCATTTCTTTATTTTTATTTTTTGCTTTGGTCTCTGAGAGAGTGAGTGAGGAAATGTAAAAGGAGGAAATGTGAAGGATTTATTTAAATAGGGAAAAAGTGAGAATTATGATCAAAACGCAGAAACAAGGCGTCGTATTGAAGTTGGTTTTGTTGTTTTTTTTTAGTAGTGAATAATAATAATAATAACCCATGATGCCATGTGAGAAGGTGGCGGTGCTAGATCTGTTGACACGTTGGCGAGTCTTTGATTTATCAAAATTATGATGATGGGATGTGGGATGTGTATGAGTTGTATTAATCAATATATAGCTTTTAAGTTACTCTAATTCCAAAACATGTACTAACAAAAGTGTTTCTCAAAAATTTAAATTTGAAATGAATGTTACTATTAGTTAGCTTTATTTGTTATTTTTTAAGAATTTTTTTTTAATTATTTGTTTATTTTGTTATTGGAAATAGAGAACCGGTGATCGATCGAAAATAATATGATTTACCTAAATTTTATTATTTTGAAATAAATATAAATAGCTAATGATATATATGTAAATATTTGTAAATAGTGACTAAAAATGTATATTCATGAATTAAGATATTGATAAATATCTTGATCTTTAATTTTTTTTCGGTATCCAAACTTTTTTATGTTTTTTTATTTGTCTTTTTAATCGTCAATAATCGATTACCGCTTAAATAACGCTTAAATAAAAGTTCTTCGAATTAATTTTAAATAAATTTTACGGTTCATATATTTGATCAAATATCTAGATGCAAACCAATATTATAATTTATATAGCTAACTAATTATGGAACAATATTGGATTAAAAAAAATATGCTTCCATTAGAAAGAAAAAAAATAAAGCATATCACACATTACTTAAAACACATTAACAATAGGAGATTCATTGTTCATTCAAGATGCACAATTATGAAAAAAATACCAAACAAATTTCGAAAGAGACATAAAAAGATTGGACAAAGTTGTCAAAAATAAAGAGAGAAAAAATAGAGTAAAAATGTATAAAAAGAAAAGATAAAGATTATCTTACAAACAAAGTTACAAAGTTTGTTCCATATTTGAAAAAAAAACAATTATTATTAAAAAAAATAAAGTTTGTTGTTCCTTACGAAATGAGTAAAGGAAAGAGGAGAGAGTGATGGAGTGTATTGGGTGATAGCAGTCTCGAAGGTGGGGTTTTGGGTGGGCGATATGTGTTTTTACGATTGATGCTTTTGAACAGATCGAATAATATTTATTTTCAATTATTTGATGAGTTTTCTTATTTTTGGATTCTTATCTATATGTTAGTGCTATTATTTCATTCATTCATGTGCTCTTTTAGACAGCTCAATGTTACTGCCACTTCATATATATAAATGTTGGATCAATTAGGTGAATAGTCTCAAAATTTTGAAAATATTTTAAATTTAGGAAATGATTTTTTTTTTTTTTTCCTTTGGCAAACGACAAAGAGAAGAAGGATAAAGTATCGACAAACGTGTATTTGGTGAATGAAAGAGCCAAAATCTTAACTATTATGAAGGGAAGAGAAAACAAACTATTTGCTAAAACCAAATTTTAATTACGAATATGAAGAAAAAGGAGTGTTAAGTGTTAACATGTTAGTAGTTAAATTAAGCAGTTTTTTCCGTAATGTCAAAGATTTTTGATATATTATTGTTTTTTTAGATTTTTGGCTATGATATAAGTTTTATTATATAATTTTTATAGTGTTTTTCGAGTCTTTAAGAGTTTTTGCAGGTTTAGGTATGTTCTGGACTCATTTGAAGATTTTAGAGCATTTGAAAGTATATGGAAAAGATATGCGAAAACGTATTTGGAAAACATAATTGATATGAGTACCCAAGAAACGTACTCGGAGAGCATATATGATATGAGTGTCGGTTTTTGTTAAAACTTAAGCTTTATTTGGAGAGATAAAATTAGAGAGCTTGGAGTTTTAAATTAAGCAGTTTTTTTTTACTTTCGTAATGTCAAAGATTTTTGATATATCATTGTTTTTATCGATTTTTGGTTATAATATAAGTCTTATTTATAGAACTTCTATAGTGTTTTCGAGTCTTTTAGAGTTTTTACAAGTTTATGTATGCTTTGAACTTGGAGAAGATGTGCGAAAAACTTATTCGGAAAATATATTTGATATAAGTACCAAAGAACCGTACAAGGAGAGCATATTTGATATAATGTCGGGTTTTGTTAGAACTTAAGCTTTACTTGGAGAGAAAAGATTTTAGAGAGCTTGGAAAGAAGAATAAGAAACTCCTTCAGAAAAGATTCAAAAATCCTTTACTTCTCCAATTTATTTCTTAATGATATATATTTTATTCATGATGTTTGCTTCATTCACCATGTCTGAGTAGTTTGCTTGTTAGGTTTAGGGGTTTCAAAGGAATTTATGAATTGTTAGTTTATTAGACAGTTAGGATTGAATCAAAATAGTTTTTCATCTGGATTGTACTTATTATTATTCAAGAGTAACAACTTATAATATGATCTTAGGTTAACTGGTAGACAAGAAAATGTTATTGATTTTGAAAATAATCTAAGATGTACAAAATACTTATTCGCAAGGAATTTGGTTTAGAGATTATGGGAACTTATCAAACTTGATCATTAATGCTTGTCTAAACTTTTATATTCGCAAGAGAATTTAAAATTTAGGGTTCTAAACATAGATAGACTCTCCAACGAAAGTTGATTAATTATAATTCTGTAAATTGAGTTCAAGATCAATGCTTAATAAATCCTCGCAATTATTTATTTGAAATTCTGAATTACCTAAGATTTTCCTGAGCTTAGCACTTTTCTCTTGCTGAATTTACACCACTTCTATTTAATTGTTTTGCTGCTTTCAATTACATCATTCTTGTTTAGCATAATTTGATATCAATTAATCTATTGTGTAAACATTGAGCCTCTGTGGAAACGATCCCCAAGTATTACTACGATCTCTTAATTTGAGAGAGTAGTTCAGAATAAATTTGAGCATCTCAATTTTGGTTAGGATCATGGTAATATGTATAGACCAAAAACTTAGATTTATAGGTATGATAATTTAAAAATTAGGTAATTAAGAAAGGACAAAATTACTATGGTAAGAGGCCCAAATAATATCGGCTGAAGTAACTAAACCAGTAGAAGATAAATCAACTCCTTCGCCAATCCTTCAATGTCGAATCAATGATTCGCGGAAGTCGGGGTATCCTTTTACTGGATTGGGATGGTGGTGCTTCAGGGGAGAAGAGCAGGCATTTCTACTAGGTGCTAAGTGTCTTAGAGGATGCCTCTCACCACTTCACTCAGAATTGGAAGCACTTATATGGACTATGGAGAGTATTCTTATAAGAAGGATTGACTGTCATACTTTTGAATCAGATTGTGCCGAGCTCATCTTAATGGTGCAAAACCATCAAGAGTGGCCAGCATTCTCCAACATGTTAGATGAATTCCTTGTGTTACATGCGTCATTTTCCACATTTTCTTTAACTAAGATTTCGTGTTCTTGTAATGCAAAAGCAGACTGTCTTGCTCGTTCTTCCACATCAATGGATTCAGAAGTTTCTTTTGTAAACGATTTCCCACCTGGTTGGGCTACCAATCATGGAGTGATATTTTAATTATTGTGTGGATGAAAAAAAAGGAAAAAATATCACAATCTAAATATTTTCTTCGTGTTGTAATTAATTACAAAGTGCCCGTGAATACAATTTTGTTTTACTATTTTAGTATCTCAATGAAACTGATCATTTTCGATGTCGATAACACTGTTCATCACCAAAAATCTAAGTTAAGATGAATATTTATGGGCCTTGGCATCCAAAAAAATGGTTTAGGTATTTGAGAGCACAACTATGTCGTTTTGGTTAAGTGAAGGGGCGAGGGGTTTCTCACAGATTATGGGGCGATGAATATAATGGTCGTTATTTAAGGTTTCACACCGGTCATGTTGTCTATGATAGGTGGAACAAAGATGGTCAGACGACTTATGACAGATATTGGATGAGCTTCTTTCATTCGAATGTAACAATAATTTTCTAATCGGATTGAGTTGCTTCTACTTTGATGTGAATCAGTCTTGACTTTTGTAGAATTGATAAAATCCAATTATGCAAGAACCCGGTTGGAGAAAGGTTTAAATAAATTGATTTGGCCACCAATATCACTAAATTGCACTTATCTTTTCGGTCAATGATCCTGAGAAAACTTCAGAGTTAAGCGTAACTATGATAGAGTAGTCAAATGATGGTTGACCTTCCGGAAAGTGATTACCGGAACTATGTGCGTGAGACCAAAACACAAAGAAATATCATGTGGTGATTTTTAGGGTCGGTAAACAAGTATTTAAAGCCTCTTGAACGTAACAAATCGACCATTGGATATATATGGGCGCACGGGCCTAGTGAGAATACGTGAGGCTCATAAAGACAGGTGGGACCATGGACTGAGAGTGAACATGGGGCCCATTGAAGAGGTGACGGTCGGGGCGTTACAAGTGGTATCAGAGCCCAACCCATACATGTGTTGAGTCAAGTGGGCTCACGCCGTCAGGGGGTGACGGTCTTGGTCCACAACGAAGACGTTGCAGCCTATTAGTAGGGAAGAATTGTGAGACCCCAGTTTACGAAGATGTTTAAATGAATTGATTTGGCCACCTATGTCACTTAAGTGCACTTATCTTTTCGGTCAAAGATCTTGAGAGAACTCCACAGTTAAGCGTGCTTATGCTGGAGTAGTCAAATGATGGGTAACATTCCAGGAAGCGGTTGTTGGAAGTGTGTGAGTGATGCCAAAACACAATGATAAATCATGTAAAACTTTGTAGGATCTGTAAACAAGTATTTAAAGCCTTACGGACGTAGCAAACAGACCATCAGATATGTATGGGCTCACGGGCCTAGTGAGAAAACGTGAGGCCCACTAAGAGAGGTGGGACCATTGCTGAGAGTTACGAAAGAACATATCAAAATTAAGAAAATTCAAAGAAGTGTTTCAAATCATGGAGATATAACATGATAATTTGGTGTTTCCTTTGATTATGTC